GCGTTCAAACTTTCACGTTCGCTCTCCAAAGTTTCAGAGGCAAATCTCGACGTTTCCAAATTAGAGTCACCTTCCGAGACTGATGGTGTGTCGGACAAACTTGATTGAGTCTGTGTGCTCGGTTTGGAATCTACTTTATGGACTGAAAAAGATTGGCATAGATATATTTTATTTTCAATTTATTAACTATGTGGAAACTAAAACTAACAACACAAATATATATGCAGTTACCATCTTTTTCAGTTTCTAGAATTTTATCTTAAAAATGCTAAAACATTTACTTTCCTTGTATTAAAGATTAATATTTTTTAATAAAAAATTCTTTGATAGTACATCCGAATTTTTAAATATATTGAAATTGTTTGATAATAAAATATTTGAAAACATTTTTAATATCAAAAAGTCTCACCTTTTGTTGGTTTCACAGGTTTATAATGTAAAAATCCTTCTTTTGTTCCGTTTAAATAATATTGAACAGATTGTCTTAATTTCGAACACCTTGGATCGGAGACAGAACCGAACACCTTTTGTGAAACCACATCCAATTCTGCAGATGGAAGTTCCTTGACAAAATTCGCAATTATTTTAATCATTTGTTCAACGCTTGTCTTATTTAACACATTGGTGCTAATATTATTATTTTTGTAGAAGTCGGCCAAGTCGTTTTCGGTCAATATGTAATTTCCAAGTAAAGCTGCCAATATACAGAGCCTGTCGGATGGTATGTTGAGAGCTCTAGTGAGTTCAGAAAGCATATATTCTTTTGTATCAAGAGAACCCTGTTATAAAAAAAAATATAATATGTTACAAACGGTAAATCGTCACACATAAAATACTGATTTCTATTACTAAAAAATACATACCTTGTATGTAAGTTTTAATTGTTCGGATGAGAAGTAGCGTGGAGGATCAAATGCAGCATATTCTGCATCATCAGCTATGAGTCCGTTGTAATTATTCTCACGACAGTAAGCAATGACTTCTTGATGATGATCATCCATACTACATAACTGTTAAAATATTAGTAACGTTAATTATGTTAATATTTTATAAATTTTTTAAATTGTCTCTTTTCTTGTGTATTTTTATTAAATTTGAATCAAAAATTTAACTGTAACTACAAAGATTAAAAACAGAAGGTAATGTTTAACTTACAACTGTGACATTTAAATGCCTAAGAGCCATACGTAAACTGGTCCTTAAACATACAGGAGGAGTCCACCAGATTTTTGGTGGCGGCGTACCTTTCGTTGTTATATGTTTCAAAACCTAAACATTTCAGAAAGACATCTTCAAAAATTTTAATTAACATTCACAATTAATCTGAAAGTATATTTGTATGACAAACTTACATTGTTAACTTTAGCGCGTACTTGCAACTGATGTTGCACCCAATCTGGTCTTCGAAGAGGTTCGAAACATCCATTAAAGAACACAGCTACCTCCAAACCCGACATTTCCATTGCTTGTATGAGAACAGCAAGGAATTGGAGCATACGATTCCATTGTCCACCACAAGCCCAATCTGTATCAAAGTAACAATAGTATTAATATAAAAAAAAAATTATTTCTTCAAATTATTTCTGTTCGAGAAAGAAACTAATAAATTTAAAAATTATACAATAACACATATAAAATTTGCCTTGTCAAAATTAAATTTATTTATGTTTATATTATGTTATATTATTATATATTTTCTGGAGACACTGGTAGTGTCTAAGCTATGCACAGCGACACTGCCGTGGTTACTTTACGCGAGCCGGCGAGTTGCGCCAGATTTTTATTATTTACCTGAGAAAAATCCTCCATACAAACGATCCAAGCAGCATTCTCCATCGAGAACTAGTCTTAATTTACCGAAATTATGTATCTGCTGTCCTTTAATCACACGATTACGTTGAGATTTTTGAGCGACCATACGCGCTATTTTCAACAAGTCCACAGATACAGATCCACCTTGTATGCAATTGCCGTCCAGGAAAGTTTGCAAGTCTTGAATGCCCATGTTTCTAATATTCCCGAAATGTATTCCGGTCACGAGTCACTTTAAGTTTGCTTCAATTTTTTCTTTATGTACACAATAGTTTTACTATCTTTATAAGTTGCTTATTTTTGTCTTAAGACCAGCAATGTATTTGCTCTTTTATGGTCAATATTTTTTTGGAAATATTTTAAGACATGAAGAAACCTAATTCCAATTTCAAAAGTTTCAATCTGCAAAAGAGAAAAGCCGGCAACGTACTCTCAATATTGAGTTGTAAATATTACAATTATTTTTATTAAACAAAATATTAGCTATCTGCTAGTGATTTGTCAGCAGATTCCACAGTCGCAAACCGAGCAGAATTTGTTCCGTAATCATCAAAATAAAATCATTTATGCCTATTTTTACCAACGATAATTCAACTTTAATCTTAGTTCAACTAACTTTTCATTTTTTTTTCTAGTTTTAAATAGGAAAAAATTTTAAGAGCAAACTGAATCGAGATTAAATTTAATCTACATTGATGGAAACGGATTTTATACTGGTATCCTTTTAAAAAGCATAAACATCATTCTTACTCTTCTTGACATTCAATAGTAAAGATAGAACAATACTTGTGTCAACTGCGTCTTTTAAAAGGAAAGCAGTCATATCTTAGTATACATAATTTTTTCGACTTTTGTTACACACGATAAGTCATTCACCCTTTTCTAACACCATCAGAAAGTATTTATAAGGTTGCGTATTTAAAAAATGTACAAAATGATACAAAATGTTACAACTAATTACTTGGTGCTCCAAGTATTTAAAAAAACGTAAGATATGAATGACCCAATTGTGTATACTTAGAATTTACGAAACAACAGATTCTGCTCGATTTATACAATCGATCGATTAATTACACTAACAAATTTTGTTATATTTTTGCTAACATTCTGTCTACAAAATTTGTACAGATACGTTATTTCTCAGAGATTTTATCATGGGATGGCAGTCTCGCGTCGACTATGACCAAATTAGTTTTATCACAGTCTGCTATTAAACAATGACTCCATTTGCTTAACACTTCCGCTTTACAAGTATTTACAAATGAAAAAAAGGAGAACTAAAGCGACATAATTCATTTTATACGTTGCTTCGTAAGTTGCGTCCCTCTACCCCTCTCCACGTCTCCGCCCCTCCCTTTCCCACTTCTTTCCTTCTGAACGAGATGACAAGCCCGACGAAGAATTTCCGTTTTGACGTGTCTTGTGGACCGTTGCGTTGCGGAGCGTCGCGTAGAACGCTGGAGAACGCGCAGTGTCGGAATTACGAGGGACCATTCGGCGCCATTTACTTTGTTTACGCGCACATCGGGACGGTCGGTGTTAGCCGCGTTCACGCCGGCTGGCCTCTCGCGAGGACCGGTCCCATGATGGTGGGATGGGCCCAGCCCCGTGGATGGGGACCGTTATCGTTAATATCGGGATACGAATCCTGAGTCGGAAGCAAGAAATATCGGACGATATGAGTCGGACCGGTTAACGGACGAATCGGAGCAGTTGTCTTGGCATTGGTCGGCGGGGTATCGCGGTAGAGCTTGATCGCAAAAAGCGGCTCTCTCGCGTTACGGAGTACGCGGAACGTGCGCTGATACCGGGTTCTCGCAGCCGCGCGAACACGTCCGGATGATCTGCGCGTGCCGCCGCGACGTATCGCGTACTTACGTTAAATTAGCGATAATCATCGTGGCCCCAAAGAAACACAAAACACACGGGCTTTCGGAGTTGGATGACGTCGGAATCGAAAACGGAAATGACCACCCCGGTACCGGTGGCGCGCGCGGCGACCGCCCGGCACGTCGCGCTATTCGGCGCGCTGATTGGCCAGTCCGTGGCGTTCCCTTACGTCACAACTTGGTCTCGACCACCCGGCGACAATAGCCGGCCGGAACTGCGCGACGCGCCATTGTTTCGAAAACACAAAGCGTTCTCATAACTCGTTTCTTATTCTGTATTCTCCGAAAAAATTATTCACCGCAAGTTGTTTACCGCATACTTTTTTTAAAACAACTATTGTTTTTTTTTGTACCAACTGATTCATTTTGTTATCACGTAAAATACACGATAAAATTTTATACTTTTGTATATATATTTATGAATTTTTGTGTCTAGATATTAAATATTTTTTTTTAATATTTAATAACTCTTACTTTTAATATTTTTTTTAGCTTTAATAAAATAATTTTTTAAAAATACAATTTAATTACTGAGACAAGATATCAAATTTTCATAACTTTTTAATTATTATTATATATTAATTTTTTTAAATATTTAATTAATAAAACAACTTGGAAAAATTTAACTATTGAATTTATGACTAAGCCAATATTGTACAAGAGAATGGTTTTTTTTTTGTAAATATATTTTATAAATGTGTATCTGATGCTAATAAAATATCGTTTTAAATATTTAATAAAATAACTTTGAAAAATTTACAATTTAATTATTGAATTTATATGTGACTCAATTAATGTTGTACAAGAGACATTTAATTTTCCAAAATTTTTAAATTATTTTATATATATATTAATATCTTTTAAACATTTAATAACTTTCAAAAATATAATTGTTAAATTTATGACTCAATTAATATTATATATAAGAAATAGTAAGTCTTTCTTTTTTTGTACTTTTGTATACACATATATTTTACAAATGTATGTCTAATATTTATTTCTTTTGTAACATTTAACAAAATATCTTTGAAAGATATTATTTAATTGATGAACTTATAACTCATCCGATATTATACAAAAGACCTCTAATTTCTATTAAAAAATCTTATCTATATTATTTATATTAATATATTGTGATTTTATTTTTACACATCTTTGATAATTTAAATAATTGTATTTTTACATAAAGGATATTTTAATCAATTTTCCCTTTTATTCTCTCTAAACTCAATAATCTAAACTTAAAGTACGCAATTACTTTGACTTGTAAATATTAATAAAATACAAATCATATCAATATAGTAGATATACTTCATTTTAATATACTTTTTGTAAGTTTCATGTACAAATACATTCACACATATCACAAACATACCATACGTCAGTAACGTTCAGTCAGCTCTTTTCACGTTACTAAAAAGATATGGAAGATCAAAATGAAAAATTGTAAATTATTTAAATCGCTTCAAAATCTACAATTTAACTGGTATCAATAAGACATGAACAAAAGGATGACAATATTATGCAGTTTCATATAGAAACATTAAGAAACATTTTGCCTTCTGTTCAATCACTTGGCAATTACAAAAAATTTCTACGATATCAGAAAAATTAACAAACTTATTAAGTTGTACAATCTAAATTGTTTACAAACTTGCGATAATAAAGATCACCTCCTGGGAGAATTCGAGATAACTATACATTGTATAGCTACGCTTCTAGAACAAGTCTTTTGAATATAATTTTACATTCCCTTCTATTATTACAATTCATCATGTTTCTCGTCTTCTTCCTCTTCCTCTTCCTTCTTTTCGTCATCAGAGTCCACATCTAACACCTTCTCGCTGTTTGCTAATTCCTCGTCCTGCAATTCCTCTTCCTCAGGGATTTCGTCCAAGGAGATACCCAAGTTTTTCCTCATCAATTGTTCCACACTATCTGCGAAACTAGCGGTTTCTCGTAACATATAGCCCGATCGCAAAGTTGCCGTACGGAACATCATCAGGGCGATGTCTTTAGCTGTCTGATCGGTCGAGTCAACCTCGACTCTGCGTAGCAATTCTCGGATGAGTGGATGCCTTGGATTGATCTCCAAAGTCTTCTTCTGGTTCAAATAATAACTCTTCTGTGGATCATCGGACTTCTGGTGTGCGTTCGAGATTGCCAAACGTTCCATATTGCCGGTCCAGCCAAACATACTGGCGACCAAGGCACAGGGAGAATCAATCAGACGTTCAGACACTTGCGCCTTGCTGATGTGATCCTTCAGGATGTCGCTCAGCCACTTGATTAGAGGCTCAAATGTTGTCTTCAATTGTTCCATTCGGTCCTTCGCTCGTTCGCCCTCGTCCAACGTGAAACCTTCTTTTGCTACATTTTGGAACTTTTTACCATCGAATTCCGGCAATGCCGATATCGCATACTCGTCCACTGCCTCCGTCAGATACAATACTTCATAGCCCTTTTTGTCCAGCCGTTCGACGAATGGCGATTTCTTTACCTCGTCCTCGGATGCACCAGCAATGTAGTAGATATGCTGTTGATTGGGCTTCATACGGGATACATATTCAGACAGGGAGGTCATTTCCTTCTGCGTCGACGAGTGGAATTGCAAGATCTTGGACAATCTCGCACGATTCTGAGGATCCTCGATTATGCCTAACTTGATATTTGTGCTATATTCCTTCCAGAATGTCTCGTAATTCTCTTTGGGAATCTTCTTGATCATGTCCAATACTTTCCTGATGAGTTTTTTCTTGATAATCTTGATCAATTTGTGCTGCTGAAGATTCTCACGCGAAACATTGAGTGGTAGATCATCGCTGTCCACAATACCCCGAATAAAAGATAGATAATTCGGCATCATGTCGGTGAACTTGTCAGTGATGAAAACTCGCCTGACGTACAACTTGATGTTGTCAGATTTTGTACCGTAACGATTAAAACTGTCACCCGGTTGAACCTTCGGGATAAACAAAACAGATTTAAATGTGACTTCACCCTCAGCAACGAAATGTGTCTTCGCTAGAGGTTCCTGATTATCCTTGGTGAGTGTCTTGTAGAATTCAATATATTCCTTTTCGTCAACTTCGTTTGGTTTCATCGTCCAAATGGGTTTCGAGTCATTCAACAATTCCCAATCCCATACAGTCTTGTCTACTTTCTTAGATTTCTTCTCGTCCGCATCCTCTTCCACCTTAGCGTCATCCTCTTCATCCTCCTTGTCTGAGTCAGTGTCCTCATCTTTCTCAGCATCTTTTTTCGCAGGCTTATCTTCTTCCACTTCTTCCGCGTCGACTTGTATAACTTTGCTATTCCACAAATATATAGGGAAATTGATGAACTGCGAATATTTCTTCACTAAGGTCTTTATCGTATCTGGTTCTAAGAAGTCCGATGCTTCTTCTTTCAAATGTAAGCTATAAACATTTAAAAAATCACAATATTAAAAGGATTAATTCCACAGCATAATAGGAAATAAGAATATGTATCATTAAGTTTGAAGAAACTTTTTGAAACTTCCTAATTTATTAAAAAGGATTCTACAACATACCTTACAGTCGTTCCTCTCTTCAAGGTATCTCCTCGAGGATCTTCAACAATGCTGAAGTTAGAGCTATCAGATTCCCAAATATACTGTTTATCGTCGTTATGCTTGCTGGTCACAACGACGATATTCGCAACCAAATACGCGGAATAAAAGCCCACGCCAAACTGACCAATCATATCGTTCATATCCTGAGAGTTAGTGACGTCCTGCATTTTTCCCAGAAACTCTGCTGTGCCAGATTTTGCAATAGTTCCAAGATTATTTACTAGATCTTGCTTTGTCATACCAATACCAGAATCCATTATGTGCAATACTTTGTTTTCCTTGTCTGCTTTTATTCTGATAGCCAATTCGTTATTTGTATCCAAGACACCTTTATCAGTGAGAGACAATAACCTAATTTTATCCAATGCATCAGATGCATTTGAGATCAATTCTCTGAGATAGATCTCTTTGTTACGGTAGAGAGAATTAATAATAAGTTTCATCATGCGATTAACTTCAGTCTGAAATGCAAACTTCTCAGCCTTATCTCTTAGTTCTTTTACTTGAGCTGTATTTAACCCATCGATTTTTATTGCTTCCTCTTCTCTTTGTACTGCTTCATGATCTACAATAGAATTTAAACGTCACTTAAATGTGTAATACAATAATTAAATTCTTGTAAATAATAAAAATTTCATATAAGATTAATTGTTGATAAAGAAAATTACATTTATCAAATATAAATGAATAAATAAAAGGACTTATTTAACTCCTTTTTAAATAGAAGATTCAATATAATAAATTCATAACAGATATGACAGGTTATATATACAAATTCAAAGTTGATGTAAAAATTCAACAAATCATAATCATAAAATAAATTCCACTCTTCTGTATGAAATAAACCTGTACTTTTCTAAACTCTATTACAACATTTGAATAATTTTGCTACACATCAACTTCAACGAACTCCTCCCACCTGTTACAACACTACCAACTTTTGGTCAAAAAATAATAGAATAATTATAAACAAAACAATTTTCTTTTTCAATTAAACTGCAAGATAATAACCTGTTCGCGATGCTTCACGGCTAGCTCCAAGATCATCCTCCACGGTACCGGCGTTCTCTTCGACGTCATCCTCGGCCCGGACGAATCCTAAAGGGCAAGCAAGCGCGCATAAAATAATCGAAGACGCTTACGATCGTTTAAGATGAGAGAATAAATTCTTATTTACCTGTCAGCAGGAATAATGCTGCGATCAATAGGTAGAGTTTCTTCATCGTCGTCGCGTCGTGAAAGACTGTGTACGAGAAAGAAATCACCAACAAACTCGCACACTGCCAACACGATACTTCGCCGTTTTTTCACCGACTGTCACGGAACAGCCGTGACGACGACGCATTATACGCGACGGCGCGGGGCGGCGAACCAATCACGTCGAACCACGCAGCACGTGCCGGCCAATAACGGGCGCACCCGACAGCAGCCCCGTACAAATGGCGTCGCACGATTGGCCATACACATGTCTCTTATCCCGTTCTAGAAGATTCACTTCGCGACTGGACACGCTGGACACGCCACGCAGAATCCGGCGATATATGCAGAATTATTACAATCGGAAATTGAATTATCAGTAATCGAGCGGATGCTACAAAAAACACGACACATCGCCGGCTAAATTGGAAATCAAAATCAAGCTATTTTCAGTTCCAGAGACTCCAGCCGGTTACGTTAACGGCTTACCGGTAAATATTTGTCACATTGAGATGACACGTGAATGTTCTACAAGAAATGTGTTTATTTTGATTGTTTCTGTTGCTCTTACAATTGTAATGAGCGATACAATGATCAGCACTTAGGAATCTGTTAACGTTGAGAATATCTATAATTGATTTCAATGTAAATAATTGATAAAGAATGGTGCAATAATTTACTTATCACTAAAATGGTTTCGTTCGATAAAACAGAAAGATTTCCTTATCAGTAGTTAATAAGCGGGCAAAGGAATGCAAACTATTTTTTTGAGTGTCGATAATTGTGATTGATAATACAGATTTTCATCTCTTTTTATTAATCTCCTTCAAAATAAATTTTTTCACTTCAAATATACTGATAGACATATCTCATTAAGGAAAGAATCTCACCAATTAAATTTAAAAAATTGACTTTACTTTTAGAAATTTTTTTTACAGAAAGCTGTTTATTCAAACGTTCTGAAATTTTAACATATAAAAGGCATATATTTTTTAATTAACTTATTTTTAAATTTTGCATTTATATTGGGCTTCTCTCGCTATTATGACGGATGGATCCATTTTATGCTTTGAAGCATTTTTTGATTAATCGATTCGTAAAATTCTTTTAATGTCTCAGTAAATGAGAATGGATTAAAATGGATTGAAATTTTTTTCTATCCAAATGCGTATTTTAGATAGCGAATACTTTTTTTTGGATTTAATTGAATTCAATTAGATTCAATTAGATGCAATTGGATTGAAAAACTGCATTTCCTATACAAAATTTTGAATTGAACAGTATTCATAATGCACAGAAAAAGCTAATATTATTTTGAGATTGAAACGCAGAGATATGCTCCATGCAATTCGTATAAATGAATAAAAATACATTCAGGATTGAAAAGCATTCATTTTAACATTTGTGAATCAATATTTCTGAAAATTTGAATCCATTTCAATTCATTTCAATTCATTCTCATTTGCTGAGAAGTCATTATGATGTTAAAATGACTCCAGAATGATTGTTAAAAGTCATTTTTCAATCATTTCCGATTCATTTTAATGTCATTTTGACGTTATCGTGACTTGTTCTGTTTGGGTAGCAACATTTATCGATTAGATACATATGGCGTGGCGAATTTAAAAAAAACGTGACCTTTAATAATAATAAGTATACATTGTTAAAGTTTGGCAATTTGAATATGTTCAATATTTCAGAATTACAATGATATACAATTAAGGCGAAGTTTTGTGAAAAGTAGGATGATATAAGAACTGGAATTATATATATTTAATAAATTGATATAAAATGATGTAATACTTGTACATATAGCAACGAACGAAAATATTGACACAATTTTACAATGTTGTAAAATGAGCTGCGTTCCTTCAAGAAGAAAAATAACAACAAAATATTAATTTTTATAAAAACTTTGATATATTTTTATATAATTATAAGAAATAGATTACGAATTAACAAAGTTATGTAAATGTTAAATTATCGACATATAGTAAGTAGTTCGATTTCTTTTTCGTGTTTTTCTCCTTTTATTTTCGCATACCTTTCTTGAGACTCAGCTTACTTTAAGGTCTTATTCTTAAAGGTCTGAAAGTGACGAAATACATGTCTTAAATAAGTAATGATGTCAAATACGTAATGATTTTGACATTAAAATAACGTTATAGCCGTCATCTTGTTGTTAAAATGTCAATTCATCAATTGATTCGTTGGGCAATTTTAGACCTTATCGAAATTTGAAAACGTCTTTTAGGTATCTTCAAAATATCGCAAATATTACTTTTAAGAAATATCCGTTTATCTATTCTTACTGCATTATTAGGGGATAAACATTCCTTTAATGATAAACTATCGTTGTCAACTGATATTTGGCCACGTGTTATTTTGTCATGCTGTCCTACTGCTATATAGTTGTGAAATTGGTCTACGATCGCGCAAAAATAAATAAATGTAAAAGTTCAAGAACGCGGAACGCTACACAATACTACGTATACATTACTGTTAGGTAGCAACTATGTTACGCGATGTGCTCTAGGGCTAGGTAGGGCTGATCAAATATGTACGATAATTTCTTTACTTCCCGGACTTTCTGTTGCGATGCTGTTTAGTCTCAGTTTATCGATGTAGTCTAAGTTTATCGAGATCAATCTAGGTCTGCCAATAAAGAGGTCACGATAATATTTTCGCACATCGTTAAAATAAACAATTAGGTGATAACCTAATGGGAGAATTTTCTTAATTAATTTTATATTAAAAGTCAACGAAACTCTATCTGAAATATTTTTTAATGCCAGATATTTTCGAAGATGTTGGAAAAAAAATTTTAATTATAAAACCTTTAAAGGATGATTTACTTTTTAAATTTGAAATTGGACATACATAAAAAAATATATCTTCTGGATCTTATTAGGTAATAATATATTTCGAGAAAGAGAGTTGTTGGATATTAGGTAACGTCTTCTAAGTTTGCTCAATCCATGTTAAACAGTTTGTGTTTGAGTTTACCCTATTCAGTAAGGCGCTCCTTGAATTTAAGAATCTAAATCGATCATACAAAACTTGCAGATTAATTATATCAATTATTTTACATTAATATTCTGATAAGGCAATCGGAAATGTTTTTCTCAGTGATCTCACAAATAAATTTCCAAGTATCTTTTACAATGTAATAACTAAACCAATTAAATGGCAATGACGACGATTCGAGCGATTATTCCCTCAACCCCGAGCGTTCTTCGATTCTTCTTCGATCTCGCCCCTCGATGAAACAATCGGTATCGGCGATCGATCAATCAATTGGTCACGCTTGCAATCGGTGCGGTTTGCGAAGCGGATGCAATGGGCGTGTTGTGACAAATCGGTCGTTATGGATACATCGTGACGCTTCGAGGGCCCTGCAGTGTATAGCCTCTTCCCATACATCGTCCAGGGTGTGTACGTTATACGTAATGTGTGTCGTCGTTATTGTCATCGTCGTATAGGATGCTATAGGATTCGTGACGATCCGCCATGCGGACGGACCGCCACTCGCCTTCCGGTCCTCTTGGAAAAAACGTCGCCGCTACCTCCTTCGCTTCCTTTTGCGAAGAGTAAGACAGGTTCCTTCCTCCTTCCGCTGATCTCGTGAACTATCTGTCGTCTTCCACTGCACACGCGCGCGTCCTCCACTGCGTTCTCCAGCGTTCTCCATCTCGTTCACCGGAAGCCGCGAGAGCTAAGGTGAGTGATGCCGCGTGAAATATGTAGAAGGAAGAGCATTTGTAATCGTTTCTACCAATGTACATTAATGTTAATCTCCGTTCAACTTGCTCTTTATCTTTTTCTAGTTCTTAGGAAGAAATAAAGAGTCAGACTCGTATTTATGGTCGATTTTTATATTTGAGGCTGTTACAGTCTTAAGCCAATCAACTGGCTGTATTACTTAAGATTGCAGTCTTAAAATAAAAATGGATTATGAATCTTAATTGAATCGAGATTACAATTAAACTAAATTGATACACGGAGAAAATATTTTCTTAGAGTTTACCCTGAAAATATATATAATAGTCGTAGGACAACATTGTTGATTTCCAAGAATGTTTTAATATAAATCTCCCTCATTTATTAATAAAACTATAATGAAGTATATAAGTTTGATCAATTTTACTGAAGTGCATGGTAAAAATCTTTAAAATATTTGTATCATCTATCATATTTTCGGGGTAAATTTTAAAACAAAATTCTTTCCGTGTAGAAATAGACAGTCGGATATTCTTTCGAATATTTTTTCTAATATTCATCTTTTTATCGCAATTTCTCGTGAATTATCTGCATGAATAATTTTTCTACGAGTGTGCAATAATTGTTACATTACAAAAAATATCGGAATAACGAGACTAGCATTATTGAAAAAAGGATAATATATTTTTTTATTAACAAAAGAGAACAATAGGATATGTTTAATTATAGTTTTCCAGCGCTATCTATTTCAAATAATTTTAAATTATAGTAAATCATAGGTGAATCAGTACGTAAGCGGTAATATAATAAAATTTATTCTATTCAGCATTTACACAAAACCAAGAAGGAGACTTGGTTTACACACTTGGTTTTTATCTTACTCATCCATCCATATCTTTCTCATATTCTCATTCCTATTTTAATTGCTGATTGCACTACTTCCTGTCTCTCTTTCTATCTTTATAATTATTCTTTTATCTTATCTATATTTTAAATATATTTTCATAATATTAAGGTATTGTTATCTTTATGCAGTTGTCGATAATATGTCGGAAACAATATTTCTTAAATAATGTTATATAGTATATGAAAAAAAAGTATTGTTTCAAACCTTCTTTGAAGTAATATTTATAACTCTTTCAAATATACTTATAATATATCTTTTAAATATACTTTTAAATTACATTTATAACTTTAGTAGGAAGTTATTTACAGTCATGTGTCGCTCATGTCGAACCGAAAAAGAAGTTTCATGAAATAATTAAAGACTTTTAACGAACGACTGCTTCCACACATGGTGGTCGATGACAGGAAACGTGAACGTCAATGTTGCAATGTAGAAAACCATTATTATTCGTAAAGTGACAAGATAGCAACAGAAGTTAATCAATAACCCACTTTTTATCTATCTTTGTGCGCATGATAGTAAAAA